CACAGCGCAGCCAGAAGCAGAAGCACCAGGACTGGCCTCATCGTGGGGTGTCCGCCGCAGGGACTGGGCGCAGGCGTGCGGGCGGCTTTATACAGCGGCCGGCGGGACAGACCTAGTAATTTAGCTGGAGATGAGCTTGGGGAGCGGGGCCACCTGACTCGGGCGCCTGGCTTGCCCCACCCCCAGCTCCCGGGGTGCTCTCGAAGGTCACGGTGCCCCTCGCTGAGCCGCGGGTTCCTCGCTCCTGCCATGGCCAGCAGCCCCGGCTGGGCTGGGGAGGAAGAAGCAGGCGCAGCCCGGCTGGCGGGGCTCAGTGGTTGGGCGTCGACCTATGAACCAGGAGGTCAGGGCACAGGCCTGGGTTGTGGGCTCGCTCCCCAGTGAGGGGCGTGCAGGAGGCAGCGATCAATGATTCTCTCTCATCATGGATGTTTCTCTCTCTCCCTCACCTTTCCTCTCTGACATCAATAAAAAAAATTTTTTTTTTTAAAAAAGCAGGCACAGGGAGGGCGGTCTATGGGGTACAGCCCACTCTGGGGGCCTGGGGGATACAGCCCTGCCCTGGGTCTGGTCTGCAGGAACATGGCCCTGGGCAGGCAGGGCGGTGCCCAGCCCCTTTAATGGGGAAACTGAGGCACGCGGAGCTGAAAGCTGGCTTTGGACCCGTGTCTGGATCTTCACTGTGGCTGCCTGGGGCCCTGGTCAGTGCTGGCCGGAGACCCCGCATTCCAGCAACCTCCTCGGGGTGCCGCTGCCCTGCTCTGAGGGGCCCAGCACCCCAGCGGCACTCGGTCACTGCTCTCCGCCTCCAGGCCAGGCTCTGAGGACCATGTGACATCCACTCCATCACCCAGTCCATTCACCTCCTCCAACCCCACCCTCCCTCTCCACCTGCCCTCCAAGCCTGGGGCCCCGCCTGGAGCCGTCCTGGACTCAGGCCTGGTGTCTCCCCAGACCCCACCTCAGCCCTCTGCCCAGATCTGAGAACATTCCTGGCTCTGCTTCAGGGGGCACATGGCTCCCTGGCCGGCGTGGCTCAGAGGTTGAGCGTCAACCTATGAACAAGGTCACGGTTCGATTTGCGGTCGGGGCACTGGCCCGGGTTGTGAGCTCAACCTGCAGTGTGGGGCGTGCAGGAAACAGCGATCCATGATTCTCTCTCTCCTCCTTTCCTCTCTGAAATCAATAAAAGTACCCTTTTTAAAAGGGGGGGCACATGGCTGGGAAGAGTGTGACAGATCCAGGCCGCAGCCATGAGACCCGGCCACGTGTGGAATGCTGGGCGCGGGCGGGCCCTGGGCTCGGCTCCGGGGCAGCAGGGAGAGGCAGGTGCAGCCCAGGGCCAGGAACATCCTGACGCCTTCCCGCTGGGCACTCCCTGCCCGGGTTCCCAGGACGGGGAGCCCCACCCACACAGGCAGCTCCTG